TCAAAATCAATTAAGCTCCATTCATTTATTAGTTCTCGTCATTGTGTGAAATTGTTGAATAGGAACAGCGTTGGGCTTTTCATATTTGAGGCTTGTTGAGCTGCCCTCCACTGCCACTTAAGATTGAGGTCAGCCTACCTGTGCATGCATTATTCATTAGTGTGCATCAGACTGGGGTGATGTATACATCAGTGTCACCATGTCGACTTACTTGATGTGTGTGAGTAAAAAAATCCAGATAGATGTGTTCATTTCTCACATCCCAGCCCCCCACCGGCTGTGTGCCAGCTGTCCTCTACCTCCCATGACGCAGTGTCCTTCAGCCCCCAAAAAACACACACACACACACACACACACCGTGCCGTGACTCAGCCCAGATCAAAGCAGCGCAGCAGTTTACCTACAACTGTGAGAAAATGGCACAACTGCCTTAATACTTTCCTGTGTCTCCATCACGCTTCACACTCGTAGACTCGGTGTATTACCGGGGCTGAAAACTGAGTGGGAATTTGGAGGAAAGTGAATTTCAAACATAAAGGAAAGAGTGTGTTTTCGTGTGTGTGCGGAAAGGGGGTGGGGGGGGGGACTCCTCAGCTGAGAAAGTGGGCCACAGAAGCCGCCATGTGTGCGGGTGCAGCCGTGAAATCAGCCTGATCCAATAGATTCTGTTTATCTGGCACGACTACAAGTGAAAGCAATTGGAAATCTGGGGGAGATTTGGAGAGGGCTGTGGATTCACAGAGAGAGAGAGGGAGAAGGAGGAAAATGAGCAAAAAAAAAAAAAAAAAAGTAATACTGTCTGCTCTACAGTCTGGCAAAGCAGGCGTGTTTTCAGATCAGCCTTTAACAAGGTTAATGGTGATTTTTCTCCACAGGCGTCGTTTTACTGTAAAAGGCTCACGCTTGCCCGCTGCCTTTTTGTCATTATTCACTCTTCCCTCTTTCTGTTTCTCTTCATCTCCTCTCCTAGTGAATGGCGTACCTGCTGATGCTTCTCTCTGTTTTGTTTTCTTTACCTTATTAATATCACCGCCCACCAAATGCAGCTGTTTCAAATACATCCATCAACTCTTATAGTTTGGGGCAGGGGTATCAAATACGAGACCCAGGGGGGCAGAATTGGTCCGGCACAGACCTTTTCCTCCTAATAAAGATCTTCCCCTTGGTCATTTTTCATTTTTTCTTCTTGTTGGTCCAGAGTAAAAATGTAGTTTAATCACAGGACAGGCAACTACAAGCCAGAGCTTTTTATGTTATGTTGCACATTTATTTACTTACAATTTCAGTTCAACTATATATTAACAGAAAGAGTGAATTTCAATGGTCCGGCCCACTTAAGATCAAAGTGGGCTATATGCATCCCATGATGTAAACGAGTTTTCTAGCTTCTTCTCATTGGTACAGATTTCATCGCACACGCCTTTAAAACACACACACACGCACACAGTTGCACACAACCCATAAATTACAACAAATGCTTCAATTTAATGTTTTTTTTATTAGAATCTTGCAATAGTTTGCAAACACAAGTATGGCAATATCTGCATCAAGATATACAGTAGTAACTGCTTTCGAAGATGTTTTATTGGTTTATAGTGAGGGTTGTCTACTGTATGTTTGCTGAGAATTATTATACAAAGCATCTGAGTAAAAAAGTCAATTTTCAAATTGGAAAAAGAAAGAAACTAAAAAAAACAGGAAAAAAAAGTTGTATATATTTATAAGAAAATGCACTGCCATGGCTGTGGAGATATGGCTTAGTCTCTCTACACCCGAATCATTATTGTGAACAGAGAATGGTGATGATGGGACTCCACGTACAGTGACTCCACCAAAGTGTACTGTGACACTGCAGTTAGAAAGAAAAAAAAAAACCAGACAAATATCCAGAGTTATCCCGAGCCGACAGGGAGGGAGTTCATTTAGGACAGCTTTGAAGATAGAGCCGCTCCCCCAAGTACGGGGGTAAGGGTTGATTTTATTGTTTGCAGTGGGCGGTGATTGATGACCATTAAGTAAACAATACATTAATCTTGCTCCTCCGAAGCATTGCCTCGACACTTGGGGGAAACACACTTACAGTCCCTTTTAGCGGAGAGTTAGGAGATGAGATGTTTTGATACCGCTCTCAGTCGGCTGTTTTAGAATTCAATTCCCCCAAAATTTACCAGACTGACTGTAGACACTCTCACATCAGCCACAATGCAACTCCACCACTGATGGCGCCAAAGCCCTTCAACAAATGCCTCCACACGTTGATCCGGGCAGTTATTTTGAATTTGAATGCTCACTGGGACATTAAACCTCCATAAGTGTTTAAAACGAATTGCAGAATCTGCCCCTAAATAACATTTTAAAAAGGTTTTACCTCTAAAAATGATGCTTCTACCGTGACCTTTGCCGTTGTGCGAGTGCCAGGTCTGTCTCCTCTCCTATTATGCCAGCAGTGGCTCATATTCAAACACTGTGGTCTTGAGCCCCGCCTGACGGCGCCTCAAACGACACCATTCCCTGCTATTTCCTCTTGTTTCCAGTCTTTATGTTCAGCCTAAGCAGATTTCTGATTTCAACACTGGAGTGACGCTCATCTTCTTATCTAACTCTCTGCAAGCAAGCGAACAAGTGCGTGTCCCACTAAACTATATCCAAAAGTATTTATCTAAAAAATAGCCAGCTCATATATCTGGAGGACGATAAAGGAGATGGAGCTTGATAACAACATCATCTTTGCATTTTTTGATACTTTTAATTTGAAGGTCCAGAAGAAAAAAAAAGGGGGGGGGTCATAATTGAAATTGGCTGGATGGTCGGGTAAACCGCAGCTTCTCTCAGTGTGTGCACAAAGCCAAAAATAATGTTCTGTCACATAGCCGCAGTTTCAATAGTTTGTGACTTCTTGATTTTTATTGTGGTGCTCATCAACAATTACCGCCACGGATTAGGAAATCATTTCAACAGCAACAAGGATCCATCACTTCATACATCTCGTTACAAAATAAATCCTTTTTTAAATCGTGGTTTGTTTGTTTTTTCTCTATGAGTCGGGGAACAACAATGCAAAAAGTAAAAAACAGAAAAAAGATGCAGAATCAAATAATTTTACTTAATAAGAAGATAATAAATGTTCTCTCTCTAACATTCAGGTAGTAAGTTCCATAAGTCTCTCACGATGTATGATACATTCATTTCTCTGTTTGGCCCTTTGCCTGGTGCCAACCCCTTTCTTGAAATTCTCCTCTGTGATCCGACACACAGGACATGGCGAGTGGGAAACACACATTAATTTTTTTTTGTTTGTTTGTTTTTGTCATTTTTTTTCTCGAATATTCCAACAAGATGGTTAAAGTAGAAATGTTTTATACTACACTCAACATAAGGACTTGCTGTATTATTTACAATATATACTGTAAAACTGTAAATCAGGTGAGATAAAAAGGCACAAGTTTCCCTTTTTTTCTTTTTAAATACAATGTAAACATCTCATCAAAAAGCATGCAATAACATTTCATTTTACAAAAAGGATATCGTTTTTAGACAAAGTACTTAAATATTGTTTTCCAGCAAAATATAATTCTCTCAAAAATACTTTCCCATTCATCCTATGAACCTTTAGACAGTTTATTTTTTAAAATTTTGAATTCTTGAAAAGAAAAAAGAAAAAAAAAGACAAGAAGCAAAATAAAGAAACAGTGACAGATCAGCGTAAGGGCACGGCAAAGATGAATCGGGTACTGCATGATAATGACTGCGCAGGAGAAATTATTATAAAGTTTATGGCAAAACACAAGAATCCTAGCCTTCATGAGTGAACCGGGCCCACACACACACCAACCTCTTTGTGAATTACTGAAAAAGGATTCGGATTTGGGAATGACAAAAAGTTCAAATACCCTGCTTTGCTTTCCTCTCCCCCAAAAATACAGTATCGAATGACAGTCGTGATCCCAACAATGCCAACCTCCAAGCAGTTATGTAAATAAGTAAGTAAAATCACCTTGACTGATTTTACTTACTATCTTTTTACACCAACGTCCAAGCAATTAATGACGTAAGTAAGTAACAGCCCTTTTCCACTAGTACCTACTCAACTCGACTGACTCAAATTTGGTTGTTTTCCATTACAATCGAGTACCAAATACAGTACAGTAAGTCCCATGACACAAACACAACACAACAATGGAGGATGAGCTACCTGCTGCTCGGTCTAGTTCTTTTTGTCAAACTCGAGGACCACAGTGTTGTTTGTTTGTGTAGCCATTTTTCTCCTTGCTGAGTTTCAAAAATTTTGGTGAAGGAGTCGCTGTCATGACTTGTGGAATGACGCCACTGGCTAGGCAATCAGTGCCATGTGGCCTGTTGATGTAACATTTTCGGTTAGCCTCAGAACAACTGCCGAGAAGGTACTAAAAAAAGAACCTGGTAGCAGGTACTACCACCTACTCGAAAACCCTTAAAAACCGGGTCAAGTCAAGCTGAGTAGGTACAAGTGCAAAAGGGCTATAAGTAAGTAAAGTTACTTACCTACTTACTCTGTTATGCCAACTTCAAAGCAAATAACAACACAGACGAGACCTCAGTTGAGCACGAGGCCACAAATACAGCACGCGGCCACCCTGATGTGGTAATGATGTCGTCTCTAACTTTAGGCCGGGGTGACCATGCAGAACGTTTTGCTCCCCTCCCCCACCCCGCATTATCACAGTTGCTTATCGAAACAGAGAATTCCTACGAGCTGCACTGACGCCTCATTTCACATTGTATCTTCTCTGTGCAAAAAAATCTAAATGTGGAAATAGGATAATCCTATAACATTAATGCATAATACCCACGCCGAAAGAGTAGATCATCTATGCACATGCTTGCCAGGAGGAAAAAACAAAACAAAAAAACGCACACGCACTCCATACACACATGTAAATACACACTTACAGGGCACGAAAAAAAGAATAGTAATATTCACACACCAACCCCCCCCCCCCCCCCCCCCCACCCTCCCCTTGCACACACGCGCACTCTTTTTCTTCCCCAGCGACTCTGTCGTTTTTCAGTAGCATCATAGTAGTGTTCCACAACCACCCGGAAACCAGTGGGGTGTGAGACGAGCTAATGGTCCAGATGACTGGGCCTCGCCATGCTTTTAAAATAGTAGCACTTGGCCCGAAGATAGGAAAAAAAAAAAAGGAAATAAGCAAAGTGAGGGAAAAGTGATCATACCAACACATCTTCATCAAGCTCTCGTCGTCGTGTACCTTAAAAACGTCTTCTGTACAACAGCTGAATAGAGTGTGTTTTTAAGAAGTTAATACCTGTACACATCTGCCTGGGGTTTGATACGTTAGCTGTTTTTACTGTAAGCACTGCAAAGAGTTAACGCTCCGTCTTGGATTATATCGACTTTACAGAGTATGCGTGTTTGAACTGCGAGCCCACGTGGCGTACTGCATGGACTGTTCTACCAAGTTACTGTACATGTTATGTTTTGCCTGGCTTTTGTAGAAACGAAGCACCTTAAATGTAAAACGACTGGCTTGTCAAAAACTTAAAACCTTTGCAACACACGTTTCTTTAAAAAAAATGCTTTTTATTCTTTCTGGGAAGAGTAGATAAGTGTCGGTTCACAAAGGGCTGGTTTCGCTTCATTGTGAGTAAAAACAGACATTTGGACAGCTGCTCTGGAGATAACACAAATAACAGCAATTACTATGGATGCACCTCAGTCAAATCCATTACCAGCGGACTGTACTGAAATTGTTTCCGTAAATGCATTATGTTTTTCCATCCCGCCGCGCTCCTGACCATTTCTGCACAAAGGTAAGAAGTCTCTCGTCAATATTGTCTTTAATTCTACACCACCATGCCTCTAAAATAGTGACTTTATGACATGGGAGCATCACGTGCAAAGCTTTCTTTTACGCGAGAGAGAGACGTTTGTGTTTCAAAACAGCTTTAGCTTTGGACTTTTGCATATTAGTTTTGATTGTTTGACTACACATTTTAACTTTGAAAAAGAAAAATCAGCATGTAAATGTCAGCGATGGCTTATATGATACCGATTTTAAAATTGAACCTTGTTAAATTTGATGCGACTATTCAGCTTATGATGATCCTTGTATAGCCCTTGGAATATATTCAAATAGACCTTTGTCTATTAAGTCTAGATTTTCTGTGCCTCCTCATTAATGTCCTTTTTTTTTTGCCCTGCAGTCTCGTCACTACACTGCAAAGCAAATGTAAATATTGGCATAATTTTTTTTCATAGTGCTATTATCTGTGAAAGACTGCATAAGCCAGAGTTAATATTTGCAACAAAACCTTTTCTCTAGATTTGTAAGTAAGGGAGTCCCATTTCTAGTGCATGTGGAGTGCACCTGTGCATTTTGTGTGAAGGCATGTGGACAGTTAAGTGTGTCGATTTCCCTCTACGTGTGTTTCTGTGTGTGTGTAGTGAATGTATCTAGTGCGCCCTAAGAAATGTATGGCTTTATCTCCATAGAAAATACTGTTATCGTCTTTGGGGCAGGGGGACATTGGTGTACTTCGGGATGCTTTGTCACATTTGTCACAAGTCCTTCTCGGTGTGTCACGCTCGGCTTCTCAAACTATCCGCAGCTCTAAACCGCTCGTGGTGACTGCAGGGTCAAAACCTTCTCCCCCAAACTTTCTCTTTTTTTCTTTTTTTTTTCTAAATCTTTCCATCCAGTACGAGGACGCTGGCATACTGAGCGACACGGTGCGGGCCAGCAGGACGGGCCTTCCCAGCACATTTCTTCTCTTCCCTGAACTTTTCTCGCTCCTCTTTTTCGAGTTCTTAATGCCGCTTCTGTCCCATCTGTGTAAAGAGTCACTTCTTGTGGAAGTAGATCGTGTGAGTGAGGCCTGACTCCACCTTTGGTATCTGGTCACTGATGATCTCCACCAACATTTCGGGGAATTCCACCTTCAGGGCCTGGGACTCACGAAAGGTGTAGAAACAGAAGTCCAACAAGTTCCCCACCAACTGGACACCACAGAGAGAAAAATATGATTATTAGAAACATAACTGGGTTTTTTCCACTTTATTTTCTAAATTCTAAATTATTTCCTACTTACCAACGTTGTGCAAAAGTCTTAAGCCACCCCTAATTTCTTTATATTTAGCTAGAAAAACGATTCCACTTTTCTGAGTTTGGAATTCCATACATTTTGACAAGATTCCCAACACCACTGGCTCTAATGCAGTCCAAAACCATGGCTGGGCCCATTCTCTTAACTTTCTCTATATATACTGATGACTTTAACCATAAATGTCATATTTGGATTCATCTCTTCATCAGACGTGCTGAAAGTGTAATCTGTTTCCTTTCATTGAGAATGGCTTCATGACAGCGCCTAAGGATACACCTCAAACTGGTTCATCTCTTGTGTTTTACACTTGAATTATTCACAGGTACACTCATTTTCAGTCCGCTTCTTGTACCGACTGAAAATGAGTGAAAAAGCAGCCAATAAAGGAAGTTCAGAAAGCCTGGAGAACAATTGCTTAAGACCACTTTAAAAAATTGCAAGAAAGTCTGACTCCTTGGAAGCAAAATATAAAGACGCAATACTTTCACACAGTACTGTACATGTATATTTTTTAACTGTGTGTAAACTGCAACTGAATTTCACTGATTGTCTTTACCACTTGGGGGCACCACTGATTTTTGTCTGGGCAGCCCTTCTTTAAAAGAAGGGTCATCTGCCCAGCACTAACCCCATTCACTCAGTCATTAGGGTCGTTGAATCTCTATGACTGCTCTCTCTTGCTAACGCTCACCTCCAGAGGCTGTGCCTACACTGTCATTCCCCCACGCACTTGTTGACACATGCATTTAAAAAAAACAAAAAAAACCCTCATTTTGCACATTTGCTATGGTGACCAGTGTGAACTTCAATAAACTGCAAGCTGATATCGATCCCCTTTTGTTCCATTCACCAATACGAGCCTCATCACTGCCTTTTCCAAAATAACCTTCCCTCAGGGAGAAAATGGGATGTAATAATCCTTATTCCAAGCCACGGCACCATTGAACTGCTAAGTAAACACATTATCCAAATCCACTATTTTGCCATTTCACTGAGAACATTTCCAGTTGTATCAGAGCCCTAAAGTGCATAACTAGACTGCCAAGGGAAGGCAGTACTGTATGCAACTGGCAAAGGGGGGGAGGGGGGGTCAAGGGTACTTACATCATGCATGGCGTCCAGCAGCTTGGTGAGCTGGAAGAAGCGCTGCCAGGTTTGGCCGGAGTTGTTGGTTGCTTTTCCCACCGAACGCCGGAGCTCTTTAATGTAATTAACCCTCATCTCCTCGAACGCCGCCTGGTTCTTCAGACCCTCTTTGGGAACTGGGAATCAGACAAATCATTACGTCATTGATATGGATGCAATGACTGTACAACAATTATTTGAAACGATTTAAATTTTAATGACCCAATACTAGCAATGAGGACTAAACAGTGCAGACTTCTCTACTTAAACCTGTTAGCCGTTTTGACATGACTGCAGGGGACTTTGTACTGAACAGCCAAGCCTGCGATTCCATTAGACATATACAGGAAGAAATATTCGCCTAATGTGTCTCTATTGTGCTCTATCTGGGCTACGCTGAGAGCTGCTGAATGCTTTTCAGATAATTAATGGTGTTATCACAATAAATATTCAGTGGGCTGTAGGGTTGGTTTTAAAAAACAGCAATCTGAAGAGCAAGTTAATGTTCAATTTGTCATCTGTGATTGTATTTTAAAACAGTGAGGGCAATGTGTTAAAGTAATGATCAGGACTGTTGGGTGACAGTGTTGGTTTTATATTACTTCTGTATTCGTTATAAAAGTAGTCAAAAACAGGGGTCTTTTAAATAGTAAAAGTCAATCCCACATTAGAAAAACGTAGTTATCCACATTTTCACTCATAAACATAAGACAACTCACACATAGAGTTTTATTTTTTTTAGAAAACACAAGTATTACAAATAGATGCCTGAAGTAATTTAGAATGGGCTCATCTTGTAATTGTGGCTCCAACTCCACTGTTTACAATACTGCTGCTACTGTAATCAGTAATGGCCAACAAACTGTATATAAAAGATGGAAACAGGTTGCAGGCATAAAGATGGACATAGCTACCATGAACCATCCGGTGGTTTGTGAAGACTCAATTTGAGGTTAGCGTTTTCACTATTGCCATTTTAGCTTCAAAAAACATATGTGATGAGGAGGGGTGGATGTGACTGTGAAACCTCCAGCTCATTGGCTGCTGACTTGTCAATCACATGCTGTTAGCCAACGTGAAAGTTTCTAAACCTGCATTCTTCTTAATGACCAGTAGGGGGCAACTCCACTAGCTGCAAAGAGATTCCCCGCTCCTCCGCTCCCAGTCACCGTGACCTCAGTAAGCACTTTTGTGCTGACATCAATCACTAGTTTTAAGTGTTACTGAGTAAAACATGGAGATCACTTTGTAAATGATGATAGCCAGTAGAGTGAAAAAGGAGGATAAAGTAAAGTACTCTTCACCGTGTGAATGACGAGTCATCAGCCATTGAGCATGCAGTTTCACAGTCAGATCCACCCCCGTGTGATGGGTGGTTTCTCAAAAGCTACGATGGTGATAGAAAAAAAAAGCTCATCTTGAGGTTGTAAAAACAGCTTTAGTAATCAGCGGTTGACACGACAACATCCGTCTTTCACATGCAACTCATTTTGTCCCCCCCCCCGGCAAAAAAACCAATCCAATGTTGGTCGGGTTGTGGTTTTTACAGCATTCATTCTTAGCTGTTTGAGAATTCTTGAAAACACCAAAAGGGAAGTTGTTTTTTTGTTTTTAACCATTCATAGTAACTCCGCTCAAAACAAAGCACATTACTAATTAACTGTGACTGTTTTCCTGTCTCGCATGTTTCTGAATTGATTTTCCTGTCGTGCTGAAACATTTGACGCATTTTAAAAATGTCTGGAACATGCGTGTTAAATATGATTTGCAGGTAATGGGCTAAGCCATGCACATCCCGCGGTATGTTCCTTTAATGTGCAACTGTGTTAAGGGTAATTAGAGGTGCTTAGTGAATTATGCTCTGAAACCCACACAGTAGCCTGTTTTTGCACATTTTTCCTGTGCTGTTGACCTGAGCCTATTTAGCAACTCATTACAACCACTTTCACCATTTCAAGTAGTAATTAGTTTCCATGTGTAGCAGCTGGTTCATGAAGGATGACAGATATAGTGAAAGGCATTGATTCAAAGTTATCTCAGAAACAGTGAGAGCAGAAAAGGAAACAATGGTGCTTATGTAATTTAAAGGGTCTAATAATTTTGTTAGCCAAACCTAATTTATTAAGCGCAACGTTCGGCGCCCGGAGCTATTAAATAACGTCAACCTTTCATTCTCATAATAATGACTTGGATTGTGGCACTTAGAGTTAAAAACTGGTCTATTAGAAATCTAGATAATAATGAAAAAAAAAAAACCCCACAGTAATTACACCACGAAGATCCATTTAAACATCTACAGTATCATTTTGTCTCACTCCGTCTTCCCACCTGTGCAAAGGATCATGTCATGGATACATAAAAAAAAGCAGTACATCCTGGGGTTTTAGAAAACGAGCTATTCAGTTCAATTCAATTTGATTTATATAGCACCAAATCACAACAGCAGTTGCCTCAAGGCCTTCCCAGCTAAAATGATTTGAATACAATCTGAGATGAACAAAAACAACACAACATATTTCACTGTGCCATTACTTATTTAACACAAGTAAGCAAAAACTACAAAAGCGGTGTGCGCAATACTGAGTACAACCCATGACTCAACAATTTGTAGAAGCATCTTAAGCAGCAATAACTTGAAGTCCCACCACAGGACTGTTATCAGGGTTGAGACTTGGACACCTTGATCTGCTGCATGACCCAGTCTAGGCCAACCTATAGCTGTTGGACAGATGGCCTCATATTTGACTCTAGAATACTTATACTACAGGAGAACAACTATAAGGTGCTCGGGACCTATGGATCCAAAACAAGCCCAAGGTGTGCTCTTTGAGGCAACATCTTTAGTTTTCCTAAAGCCAAAATCAAAAAATGATGCTTTACAACACAGTAAGGCCTCAAATGAATACAACATAAAAGCTGCTGGAAGGTCGAGTGTGTTTTGAAAATGACACGTTGATTTTGATATTTCTAAAATATGTCAGTATTAATGGTGCCTTCGCAGATGTGCAAGTTACACATGGTAAGGGCAATAACTAACTCTGTTCCACCATCACTGGCTTTTGAACTACACAGTCATTCATAAACCAGATGGTTCATCTCCTGTTTAGCCTGGAGGATGCAGCATCTGTTATTTTCACAAAGAATTAAACAATTTTTTATATCAAACCAAATGACAGTTTTCTGTTTCACTTCAGTCCTTCTTAATTTAGCTCAGGACCAGAAATGAAGTGTTTCTGGATCTTTATATAAATATACATGTGTGTGTGTTTTCTTTTACATGATGGGTTTTGTGAATGCACAGACAAAAATATGTTGCTTAGGTCATACAGTGATTTCTGCTACAGAATTATGTGTTTCTAATACACTGGTGACTAAGGGCTCAGAGATCATGGCCAGTTAATACCGGTTGTCATCTTTGTCACTTGCATATAGAGATTTATTCAGTTTCTTTTAATCGTTTTACAATATTATGCACTGTAAATGACATCCCCCCCAAATTCTTTACAATTTTTATTTTGAAAAATTGTATTTTTTAACTACATGACCACACAGTCTTTACACACTGGTGAACCCCTCATTATCTGAAACACTGTCAGCCTCTCAGAACGGCTCTTTTTTTCCTACCAAATCTTGTTAATGACCTGTTGCTAGTTAATAATTACCTAATTACCTACTGAAACATGTTCAATAGGAACACGTTGCTGGCCTCAAGCTCCAAGCATCTTATATGAACTTTAGCAACAACGATCAGCTGATAGGGCTTGTTTGAATTCTGCAGAGTGAACAGCCACAGGCAAAGCCGGCATCTTGTCAGTCAAAATTGCAGGTTTTTTAAAACAGATCTTTGAGAGTATGTATTTTGGTGTGTGTGTGCTCCTTCTTGTCTCTTTCTATGTAATTCTTTTCATCATACTTTTAGGTACAATCACCTCCAGAAAACAGATTGTACCCTGGTGCTGTGATTTCTGTGCTGATTTCATGGCTGACATGATGAGAATGTGCTAAAACCCTTGGTCGCATTTGGACCTTTTGTTTTTCTCCCACTGACCCACATACACCCTGATTAGAAACTGACCTGGCATTCAGGGGCGGCACCATGACCGGCCCTGAAATAGGGCATTTATACCACTATAAATGATGTCAAATTGATTTTTGCTGCAGGTCGAGAGCACCTTCAACTGGGCTGCATTTCTTTTTTGGGAGTTAAGACGCTGCACCGTGTGCACCGCAACCACCGAACAGCTCTTTTTCTTAATGTGTTTCAAAGGAAGCAGCGCATATCTAATGCCGAGAGAAGATGCTCTTAGCATGCGTTTCGCCAAACTACGTGCATCTTCCTGCTCTCGGTAGCTACATGCCTAACTGACAGGGTGGCTCTTAGTTTTGATTTACTTCCTGATAGTAACCAAGTTTGCAGCTAGTCCTGATTATGACTGCAATATAAAGCAGGTGAAAGTGCTGAATGACAATAAATATTTATTAAAAGATTATGCAACAGAAAAATAACCAGCTGCAATAAAAGGAACACAGTATTTGACACAGTATTTGAGATTGTAACCACTTCAGCTCCGCACACACACACACACACACACACACACACACACACACACACACACACACACACACTTACACTTGTCCCATCTGGAATGAGGCTCCGGAGCCATTTTGGAGAGAAGCAAGATGACGGTTTGGAAAGGAAACAAATGACTGAGATCATCAACTTTATCTACATCTTTGTAGAGGTGAGGAGCATAACCGGTTCAAGCAGGCCGCTGCTACTGTACTGAATCCAAACAGGGTCATGAGACACCGCGGGCTGACTGAAACCTTAGCCAAGGTCACAGAGGAATAACAGCCCTTGTCTCTTTTCCCTTTATCCCTTTTCGCATGTCTGTTTCACTCGTTTATTCTCTCTCCATGCAGCGCACACATTCCCTTTTGCAAAGCAGCCTAAAGGCACTCGCAAACTCGGTGACTATGTAGTACTTGCTCAGCTGACAAGGTCTGACACCTCCTCTGTAAACATTTCTCCCGCTACTCCTTCCACAAGGCCCGAGTATTATATCTGAATGATGGTAACTAAGTGAGCCTCCTACAGCGCCTCAGAAAATCCTGCAATAGACTGCTCCTTTTTTTGAAATTACCCACAAGTGCTCTGCCAAACCTCCGTACAGTACAGACATGAAAGACGAAGCATTGAATGATTATTTTCTTCCCTCCCCTTCCCTCATTTTTGAATGTTATATTTTGACTAAATCCAATAACTGCAGCAGACTAAGCTAACTGTGAAGCATCTTAAATTCCCTGTTTTGATTCTGCATCCAACTTTCTTTTATCCACACCCTCGCTTTCAAAATTCTAGCCCGGGTTTCAAGGAAGTGGAGAAAAATAGCAGGTCTTGGAGCAATGCCTGGTGCTTGACTGGCCTTTATTAAGTACAGCAGGGCTCTCTGGAAAACCTCCAGAGGACCAGTGAGGAGAGGGAGAGGGAGGCCGCGGCAACAGAAGGACTAGCTCCGCCATCCCACCACTCCCTTTGTCTTCGCTTTCTTTCTCCCCATAGCTGTGCACCTGTCTCTTTCTCACCAACCCTTGCTCCGTCAACTCCAAAGAGTGTTTTCACTCTTTAAATCGAACTTTCCTGTCTTTGGTTTCTCATTCTCTCCGCATCGCCTTGCTCCTTCTTCTCTTCTGACATCCACATTGTTAAAGTCCAGTTAGAGCTCTCCTTCTTTCAGAGTTCATATTCAGAGAAACGCTTTCACATTTGTTCTTCCATATGTCGCTGAGCTATAGAGCCAAAATCGGCCTTCCTCTGCTACATCGCAGTACAGTGCATGTTTAAAATACTTGTAGACTTCCCTTCCCTTCCATTCAATACTTAAAAAAAACACTTTAATGAAATTCAAAGTATTCACTACTCGCTTAACTAAGTATATAAGTATATAAGTATATTAAATAGAGTATAGATGCTTAAAATGATGCTGCAGCTGCCAGTTTACAGTTGGTGCAAAGCACGGCAGCAAGGCCACTCATAAACACTCATAAACAGAGTACTCCAGAACTAAATCGGCTACCCAATTGTGACAGAATCTAATTTAAGGACATATCGATTTCTTGGAAATCGCTGCATAATATCTTTCTGCTTTATATTTCAGAACTCTTAACCTCTTATTCTGCACCCAGGCTGTCAGATCAGAGAATCAGGAGCTGTCACAGTTTCCACACTCAGGGCTTAAAGCTCGAGCTCAACTGATATTAGCTATGTGCATATCTAAAAAATTAAATAAGTTAAAGAAAAAGGAGTCAAGTCAAGGCAACGGAAAGACACGTTTAAAACATGTTAAACATATCTTCATATATGTCATGCTATAAAGTATGTGTACACAATCGTGACACAAATATAGCAACAGCAATTAGAAGTGAAACACAAACAAAACTAGAGTTGTTGCTCATGCTCACAGATGTCTGGTTTTAAAAAACACCCAGCACGCCCCTGCGGGCGGTTTATCCTTCAAGCTCGGGTCCTCTACCAGAGGCCTGGGAGCTTGAGGGTCCTGCGCAGTATCTTAGCTGTTCCCAGGACTGCGCTCTTCTGGACAGAGATCTCCAATGTTGTTCCTGGGATCTGCTGGAGCCACTCGCCTATCTTGGGAGTCACCGCACCTAGTGCTCCGATTACCACGGGGACCACCGTTACCTTCACCCTCCACATCCTCTCGAGCTCTTCTCTGAGCCCTTGGTATTTCTCCAGCTTCTCGTGTTCCTTCTTCCTGATATTGCTGTCATTCGGAACCGCTACATCGATCACTACGGCCGTCTTCTTCTGTTTGTCTACCACCACTATGTCCGGTTGGTTAGCCACCACCATTTTGTCCGTCTGTATCTGGAAGTCCCACAGGATCTTAGCTCGGTCATTCTCCACCACCCTTGGGGGCATCTCCCATTTTGACCTCGGGACTTCCAGGTTGTACTCAGCACAGATGTTCCTGTACACTATGCCGGCCACTTGGTTATGGCGTTCCATGTATGCCTTGCCTGCTAGCATCTTGCACCCTGCTGTTATGTGCTGGATTGTCTCTGGGGCATCTTTACACAGCCTGCACCTGGGGTCTTGCCTGGTGTGATAGACCCCAGCCTCTATGGATCTTGTGCTCAGAGCTTGTTCTTGTGCTGCCATGATTAGTGCCTCTGTGCTGTCTTTCAGTCCAGCTTTGTCCAGCCACTGGTAGGATTTCTGGATATCAGCCACCTCCTCTATCTGCCGGTGGTACATACCGTGCAGGGGCCTGTCCTTCCATGATGGTTCCTCGTCTCCCTCCTCTTTCTTGGGTTTCTGCTGCCTGAGGTATTCACTGAGCACTCGGTCAGTTGGGGCCATCTTCCCAATGTATTCTTGGATGTTCGTTGTCTCATCCTGGACTGTGGTGCTGACACTCACCAGTCCCCGGCCCCCTTCCTTCCGCTTAGCGTACAGCCTCAGGGTGCTGGACTTGGGGTGAAACCCTCCATGCATGGTAAGGAGCTTTCTTGTCTTTATGTCAGTGGCTTCTATCTCCTCCTTTGGCCAGCCTATTACCCCAGCAGGGTACCTGATCACGGGCAGGGCGTACGTGTTGATGGCCCGGATCTTGTTCTCATATATATATATATATATATATATATATATATATATATATATATATATATATATATATATATCGTTTGTGTTGTGCTAGATAAAGAGATGGGAGAAACAAAGTTGAACCATGTTATGAGGGTTGATGTTGCATAATTTGCACCCTGCAACTTCCCTGTTGGCAACAAATGTTTTCAACAAACCCAACAATCAGCTGGTCTGGGCAGAGTCGGGACGGGCATAAAACGGTCATCCACGTCTTGTTGTGGCAATAAAACAAGATTATTTTTAAACTGAACTCTCACATTATCTTAGCAAGGACTCATAAATAACTGGGAAATCTGTTTATGCTTAGCGATTTAAAAACAACACATATCTGTATCGATATAACTTAAAAATGTTAAGACAATAAGTCGATAAGACTTAAAGGCTCTACTTAAAGCATTCAAAGTGCTCAATCAGCCCTTCAGTTTCAAAAATCAAACTTTGTCTCGCGTCATAGCCTGCTTTTGTATAACACATTATGGTCTATCTAGTGTAAATGTTCTCATTTTGTTGTTTCTAATTTTTGTAACTTCTCCCAGCCACCTAACTCCAGTTTTAAAAGGTGCTATAGAAATACAGTTTAGTAATATTAGCAAATTATTCGGTACAACCTGAAGAAATGTGGGCTACACTTTCTTTGCGCTATTGACATTTGCTGTGTCCCTGCTGTGTAAAGAGAGAAGTCATTACAGGCACCAAAGCTTCCTTGTATTTCAGAAAAAACCCAAGCACTGAAAATATGAATATAAAATGTACAACTTTATCAGGATTTCTAAGTATTTTAGTAGATGTACTTAATTGAAAGTTTTTGAAAAAGTTTTCATTTAAATAAATAAATTTGTCCAGTAAAAATAAAAATAAAAACCCGCCAAGTTTTTTATATGGAAACATGAGATTGCTCACTACAGCCTTTCTGTGCCCTTCTGAATGTGGCACATCTATCGACACCCTACACAGACAAATGCAAGACTGCATCAGGTCTCTGGTGTGATTTAAAGCTTTGTGTTTACCTTTTCATTAATTCTAGTGTGTGTGTGTGTGTGTGTGTGTGTGTGTGTGTGCGTGTGTGTGGACAGTAACGTTTTGATAGACTGCTACCATTGACTTGACCACAGCCACTCACTCTGTTGTCATAGTGAAAAGAAAAAACAGAGGCTACTTTTGGTTTCCAGTTGAGCAACTTGGTCCAACGTATCTTCTCTGTGAGGCTGTAGTGGTGGTGTGTGTGAGGTGGTATCACAGTGAGACCCTCAGTACTGAGCGGCATGAGTGTTAATCCTTGGCAAAAAAACAACAACAAAAAAAGCAGCAACGGAAAATAAACCAGAGCACAACCGAGAAATGACACCATCTCTCTTTCATTTTGCATACATTGCATTTTGCCACAGGTGCCTGCAACACCAAGTCTATTTTTCACACTCTTTGTCTCTGTTGAAGAATTACTAAGAATTGAACCGTGGGCGCCAGGAAGGCAGATACTGCCAACGGTGTCTCGAAGGTGTGTGGTGAAACTGAACAGACAACACCTCATCGCCACGTTTCCTTTGTGAGATGGCAACCTTTTTGGTTAAGAAGAAGCAGTTTGACTCAGGCTGTAGCAATCCACATCATGACGCCTTTAATTGTGATCCTAAAGTTAGCGAGGGGGGATTTATATCGCAACAATGACATACGCTGACTGTTCTTAGTCTGATTCTGCTAAAGCTACACTCACTATCCTTAAATATGAGGGAGGTTTTTTTTAGGTCACAACATAAAATGAAAACAAAGAGATTTGGGATTTGTCCATCTGTATTATATAACGCTGTTGAAAGCACCAACGAAACAGTGCAGTACAAAGAAAGTGTTAGATGCCCGTCAGCATTCCCGGGTTCACAAAACATCGGATTCATCTCATCTGGGCACTTTTGGCATCAGCGGAAATGTTGGGAGCCGGGACCCTACGGTTTGAATGCTGAGTCACGCACATGAAATGTGGCAGGTGTTGCGAGGTACTAGGAAGGTCCGAAGTGGTTCTGAACAGATGGCTCGATTATTAGTGTGGAGTCTATGATAGCCAGGTGTGTAAGTGGAGAATAAATAAGAGCCGTGCAGGTTTCCAGTCCACTGCTTACCTGTGCTGAGAAGCAGGAGGACCTTCATGGAGAGGAACTCGTCGTAGGTTAGCTGCAGTCGCACAAACTCCTGGCTCACCTGCCTCATGCCCAGACACAGGTCGTACATGGCCGACTGCTGCATGCGCTCCCTGAAGAGAGACAGGCAGAAAAAAAAAGAAATTAATAACTAGCAACTGTGTCGGTGTTCTGTTACACTCCTTTCCCCAGTACAGGCTCACATTTATTCTCAGTTCATTCACTGGTTATTTTCTATTTATTTATTTATTTATTTTTGTCGATACTAACTCACTAACAGGCTTCCTCGCTCTGTTCCTACCAAAACTAGTTCAGTCCAGTGAAACAGTGTTTCCACACAGTGCAGAGGAGGATCCTTCCAGTCTGGGCTAAGACCAGAATACCAAATCCCCCCAGATTGCAGATTGCAGAGTGCTGCGTACGGTCTCACAGCACAGATGCACCAGTTTTCCAAAGCTGCGGCAGACTACAGCAGACCCTGTATCTAACCCCAATCCCCATAAAAAAAAAACACATTTGAAAAATTGTGTGTAATTCCAAACACATCCATGTTGGCAGAAATGGCACACATAAACATATGTTAAGTACGCATGTGCATGCTTACCAATCAGCATCAGTGCCTGTGCACCAGAGTGTCAAAAATACACCAGTTGTGTTGATTTGTCTCACTCCCCTTCTCTTTCACACACATTTTATCGCTAAAATCATCTTGGGTATGTTACACAACTCTCTCTCTCACACTCACACACACACACACACACACACACAAAGAAACGGGACAAAAAAACAGGAAAGCAAGAAACACTAGAAGAGATAAAGCACAAGTCAATCAGAAACACTCTCTGCAGATGCCACAGATTCTCTGGCTTTGGATGCCACTTTACTCTGCTATAAATCACCACCGCATCAGGACTACAGTAATTAAATGCAAGTGGTGCGCCTTGACTTGAAAGAGGTTGGACTTTTAACCACAATGCAGTGACACCACATCATTACACAGGCAGCGCGGGCGGAGACTTATTCTGATAACAACTACATGTAATATTATGTAGAGGGGACCGGGAGCAGCCGATTGGAAATGGGTGCATAATATTCCCATTAAAGCACAAAAAAAAAAGACACGCAACGCCTTTACAGTATTTACTGTGCAGCTGTCGGCTTCGCTAAGTAACTGATAAACTGTGACGTCTGAGCACGCCCGCTTCCCCGCTGTGCAGTGCCGTGTATGTGAGCAGTTTCGCAAAGTGCGGTATAATATCATTTGATACAACTTTGGGCTGGAGTTTCTAAAGTCTCCACACGTTTTCTCTATCGCTACCTCTCTCTCTCTCGCGCTCACTCACTCCCTTCCTGAAATCAATTTTGCTGAATCACTGCCCAAAATGAGCACCTGGTGTTGGGGAAGGAAGAAGCAGAAGAAGAAGAAGAAGAAGGAGGAGAAAAAAGAAGACAGCAGCAATCTCTCTCCTTCCCTCTCGCTTTCCAATTTCTCTGTATCTCTGTGTGTCTGTCTTCTTCTCACTCAGTTTCCTTTTCTTTCTCTGTTTCTAAGGCAAAAAAGGAAGAAGCACAAGACTGAGGAGAAAGGAGAGTTCAGAGTCTCCTTCAGCTGCGAGAAGCTCCCAAAAAGCTCACAAGAGAAGGACAAAGGAATCATTTAGAATTGAAATGAAATCACAATTAGTGTTCTCTTTTTTCAAACTCTCAAATATCAATGTCAACATAATTCCTCAAAAACTTTGTTAATATAATTTAAAAGTTCACAAAAGGGTCTTTGCAGATGCATCACAAGGGCTCATTGGGAGGACGCTTATATGTGTTTGATTGACAGCTGAGCAGCCACGGGATCAGTGGCACAGTTTAAATAACGCTGTACCACTGGCTACAGTTTTACACACTAAGGATGCACAATGAGTCGTGAACACTTGATAACAAAGAATAAAGAGAAGTTTAGATCAGCTGTTTGACTTTAGATATGTTTTTGAGCAGTTAAACTGTTCGCCCGTGTTCAAAATTTAAATTCAAATGAAAGTAGTAAGTTAGATAAATAGAAAGGAAACCAAAAATATAATATGGTAATGGATGGATTATAAAGCACTGTTTTACTCTATCTGAGATGTGCTTTATGCGACATGCCACAGTTATCCATTCACACAAGCACTTTTTAAATTTTATCTAAGTGCTTTATATCGAACATTCACACTCTGAAGAACAGATCAGGAGCAACACGGGTAACTCAGCATTTTGCCCAAAGACACTTTATCATGCAGACTGGAGCAACCAGGTACTGAACCACCAACCTTCTATGCTCTACCTCCCGAGCCACAGCCACCTCATACATTAACAGCTATAAGCAGAATAATTTTTATAAATCTATGATGCATGCAGTTTCCACATTTTTACAAAGTAAAAGCAACTGTTTGCACTCTATAATTATAATGTTTGAATCTAGGGCAAGTGATGTGATCTGACTCGGGAATTTACTGATAATAATGGACAAAATTTGACAGATGTACATAGCTTTTAATGTAAAATGAACATCCATGCTTGCTGTATTTAGACTCAATTGCAGACAGCTAAGTGAGGGGACAGGGTGCTCAATAAACGCTTTAATGCCCTAGGCCAATAAGCACTTTGTTGCTATAGAAACAAGTGGACACCGTCCTCTGCCCTGAAGACTGACCGGAGCTCGAAAAGTTATGGACAAACTGTGTACCCATATTTGACCTCAAAACAACAACAAACACGCACACACACCTTCGCTCAGAAAGAATCAACGGGGATGGCAGTGACATCCAGGCTGCCCTGATAGAGCAGCAAGCATGTGACCAACATCCAGGCCACCACCAACAGCCAGTCTACATCTCCTCTGCTCTGTCAAGCTTAATACCAGGCGCATCTGTCAAAGGGAAAGGCTGCTGTATAGAAACCAACACAGCAACTGCAAAGTATATATATGTATGTATATATATATATGCATATTTATATATAAATGATTAATAATCATTCATTATACTCGTGCTATTCGTTTTTTTTAAACATCTTTTCTCTGTGTTAGGACTTATTCAGAGCTGAATGTGTCACATGAACCATTCGGTTTCTATCACAGCGTAAGATTTTCCCCCTAAAACTGATTTCAAAGTAGGAAACACAATTCCTAACCTACTGTGTCTCATTTGGCGCTAAATGAAACTCAGGATGTGAGCTAAGCACACAGTGATACAACATGCAGGTCCCAAAAAAAAGGGGCTTTTACTGTAGCTGTGTTGCACGAAAGAGTTTGTGCTCCTATTTGGTTGTTTGTGTCTCTGTATTTATTTATTTGGGACAAACTGACCCAGTGACATTGACTTATACAAGCTATTAGTTGGGAGCTTTTAAAGCAGCCTCTGACTGAACATGCTCCTCTACAGCAGGCTGCCTAGAGAAGTTACCGTTCTCCCCTTTGATTAATTCTACAACATTCAATTCATCAATGGCCACGCACTGCAGCTCCAATCAGAAAATATATATATATAGCATATATATAGCATACGTTTCCTTTCTGCCTGCTCCCCTGCTCAAACATATTAACACAGATCAACTGGGCTATTGACTGCTCTTGCCAGGCTTTGATGGTCTGTGCCTGATGCAATTAAAGGACCATCAGAAAGTACAAACGTGTTTTCTTGTAAAGTGCCAGAAATCTGGCGCGAGATTATGACCTCGTTTAAAGTACATCCTGACTTCCTGAGAGGGAAGTCATTACCACAAAACCTCATTGTGGCCTTTTAGTAGCTTTTGGGTGGCTTAATAAAACGCTTAAAATAGCACAGACCCAAAATGCACTGCTTACTTCCTTATGTTTATGCATAAATTAGCATTTCATGAGTGGCTAAAAATAGAACCAGCCACTAATAGTGTAAGCCTGGCTGTTCACTCAATTACTATATCGACTAATTAACTACTCTAAAAACCAAATTGTGCTTTTTCATGTCTTTAATAGATGACTGAAATGGTTGATAAAGGGCATATCTCCTCACTGCCTTTAGTCTCAGTACTGCTACCTGCTAACTGTTACGACCAATACGATCTAATAACATGAGAGCCATGCGTGCGTTACATTGCAGATATGGAAGTGTGGACCTACTCGTTAAAGATGAGGTCAGGGGCAAAGTAGAGCATCTGTCCATTGGTGTGTTTGTAGGAGCGCCAGCTGAGGCAAAAGGAGGACAGACACATCCATGAGTACTGGATCAGGGTGATTTGGTCCTCAATGGGCAGGCTCCGGAAACCTAGCGCACATGAACACATGCACAGCAGACAGAGACAACGTCACGTTTTAAATGCAGCAAGGAACACTGAGTTAACGCATTTGGACTTAAGCAGCAACTTAAAGAGGCCTTTATCTAGCCTGGCACGTGTGTGTGTGCGCGTGCGTGTGTTTACTCATGTCTATGCATTAAGCGGCGTGTATCTGTGCTACAGCGAGCAGTTTTGTGCCCGTTTTTTATTTAGACATGATAACCACTGGGAAGTATTCACCCATTCTTGTTTCATGCAAATCCCACAAGGCCTCCAGATATTGGCATGCCATCTACGGAGCTCCAAAAATAGACTCAAATAGGAAACTTGCCAAACTCTCAATCAAACTCAGGCAAGGAACCCCTCCTTATCCGAAACACACAGGCCAACTAAGGACACCCAAGTGACTTATCAGGGCTTAGGGACTATTTCAGTCTATATGCGTGTCAATCTGCCAAAAACAATGATTTGTATGAAAACATTTGTGGGAAAGGTATGTCAAATGCCTGGCTGTCAACACCGTTTAGTCAGTTTATATCACGTTATGAGGGTCTTCTCTAAACTGTTACATCTGATCTGTGTGTGTGTGTGTGTGTGTGTGTGTGTGTGTGTGTGTGTGTGTGTGTGTGTGTGTGTGTGTGTGTGTGTGTGTGTGTGTGTTTTTACAGGCTGCTTTAAAATTAACATCAGAAAAGTATATGTGCTTAATGACTGACATAACAAGAGACTGGGCACATTGCTGTTACTGACATTGATGGCCCGTGTTGCCTTGCGTGTCACTCTGCCACATCCAAATGTAAACTGAATGCCGGCAGGGGGCATATCTGAAAGTCGAAGGTGCTCATTTTGACCCTTCTGTCTGGCTTCTATTTATATGTCCGGATATGGCAAGCAGACACCGTGGAGGTATCAAATATTTGCAATACAGCAAATTAAACAGGCTCAAAGAGCTACCTGTGAGGCATCTTTCATTATGTCTGCCACTGACTGGAATTTTAGGGGAACGTGTTTATTCCTTCTCAAACATTATTTTCTCTCAGCTTCCCGTAATCTGGTGTATATGAAAAAATTAATGAGAAAGCTGTTCACATAACAACTGGCAACACTGATGTAAATTAGTTTTGTTTTTTTTTCTTCTATAAGAAATCCTAATCTTGATTTTATTAAATGGTAAAATAGGATTCATCTCTAATCTTGTTGAAGCACTGCAGAATTATTTCCTGACCTAATATTTCAAATCAAAATTGGGTGCTCTGACAAAACTGGCAGTGTTTTATCCGAAAAAGATCAAAAGTGAAGATGTTGGCGTGTTGTCTTCATTAAAACCCCTCTTCATAATTACGATATAGAGTCCCCTCTGATTTATTAGGCTGGTATTTTTAACAGCTTACCACTTTTTTTGATTCAGCCATAAATAAAACTGAATATCAATTCTTTTGTTAGCAGTAAACTATAAGGCCATGCACATATAACCTACTTCTCTTACACATGTCTTTAGGACTGCTTCCACTCTTTTCCAACATTCCTAAACATTTCTAGCAAACATTCCTAAACAGCACTTAGGCTTCAGCCCTCTTGCACTAATGGTCACTAACCTGGAAGTACTTTGGCCCATTTCACCATGCGTACCATCTGCTTTCCAGCCAGGCGGTTGAGACTGGATAGCAGGTGGTCAGTGGTGTCAGGCTGTGAGTTGTCATAGCCAGAGTACACTTCTTCGGGCTCAATCAGCTCCAACACGCTGCAGATGGAGGGCGGCAGAAAAGGTGTGACCACCCCAGGCCTGTGGGGCACCAGGGCATTGGCAGCACTGGCATTCAGCTCCTTCTCTGAGGACAGGTAGCCTCCAGCGCCACCTGTAGCAGTTTGGCCATCCTTAGAGCCCTGCAGGTCCTCGCTGACTCCCTTCAGCTTCAACTTCTTGGATTTCCGTGCTGCGGGGTACAAAAGAGCCTTTACTAACAGTGTTAATGGTGGTATTTTTTCTATTTATGTGTCTATCTATGGGTATAAATAATATGCAAATGCAACAAGATGTACTACTTAAGTCAAACATTTATGTCTGCTGTGCTGCTATCACATAAAAAGTATTTGTTCAAGTTCCTGTTTACTCACACAATCATATAGGTTTTTGGAAGGTAGTAAACATTAAGATGCAATACAATCACCTACACTGGACTGTAAACCAGCTAATTACTAGTTATAACATTATAAGTTGTCAATACTATCATATAAGTGTTATTCTAATTTCCTTTTAAAATCAAGGTTAGTCAGTAATTTAACAGAGCCTGCTTCTGCCGGAGCTTTCTTCTGGCTTAAACTGAGGTTTTCATTTCCACTGTCGCCAAGTTCTTGCTCATCTCATCTCGGGTCATCTGATTCTTGGCATTTTCTCTTTGTTCTCTTAAAACTCTAACATATTTTGGCACATAAGCCTTCATAACTTCTCTCCTCATGGAGCTTTTTAAACAACAGATATAAGCATGTTTAATTTTACCCCTTTCTGCCATGTCTAGGGTGTAAAGTCTCATAGTATATCAAAAATCAACCATTTGTGGGAGCACAGCTGGTAAATACTTACAACTGAAACTTAACTAGAGCCAATCAAAATGTGGGACGTTGTCTGACGAAGGACAGGGTATGAAAATTATGTGCGGTCCCACATAAGGTGGGACATCTGGCCATCCTACTGCTGGTATAAAAAGTTCCTGACAGGCACTCTTGCTATGCCAGTGTGACTTCTCTTCAGATACTCCAACTTCCTCCCAAAGCCAGGTTTGTTTTGTTAACTGGTAACTCTAAATTAACTGTAGGTGTGAATTTGAGCATGAACGCAATCTATCACAAGGCTGACATAAAAAGACAGCCTTTCACCCCGTGACAGGTGGCATAGGCTCCAGCCCAGCCCTCATGCTTTTGTTGCTATAACCACCTTATCTCCATGTATTGCGGTTTCATTGTGTATCATACATCACAGTTCTGATGACGAGCCTAATTGCATTGCCATTAGCCAGATAGACAATAATGATGGCTAGGATTAGCTTTCTGCGAACGCAGTTGTAATACCTTGAAATGTAACACTTTCCTTCTGGGGAAGTAATTCCCCCAGACCCTCGTAGTAAAGGCAGGTTTTTACCTTCCTTATTCTTTCTCCATTTTCATCCCTTAAGTATTAAAGTGTAACGTGTTTATAGAGATCAGTTGAGCCTGAATTTTGCTTTCTAATACTGTCTCATTGTCAGGATTTTAATTTTTAAAACAGAGCTTCTAACCAATAAAGGACATCTGACCAGTAACCATGTGATGTTAACTCCTTGGGCCATTTGTGTGACAATGTAAATATTACATGTGTGACAATCATGGTGACGATGTAGGATCAAGAGAACAAGACCCGAGTCACGCAGGACTAGAGACCAGTCTGCAACCATCTGTCAACCACCATTTGTGAGTGAAAAATTTGTATTTCCCAACAGGTTGTGAGCGGTTGCTGGAAGTTGTTGGCAAAAAAAAGTATAAAGTCCCAATCACACAGGCCTATAGAGTGGTCAATGACCCCCTGGCAACCACCTGTTGTTAGGAAAAAAGGTATTCCCCAAGATGTTGGCAAGGACTTGGCAAGGACTGTTGTGGTTGCTAGTACATTGCTGCGGTTGCTCAGCATTTTTCCTAATATTAAAGACAACCGTGGCAAAGTGCTAGCAACCAAAGCAATCAAAAAATAGTTTTTCATTGTAGGGCAAGGGTGGGGAACTCCAGGCCTCCTGGAGGTTTTAGATATGATCCTGGGTCAACACACCTGAATCAAATGATAAGTTCATCACCAGGCCTCTAGAGAACTTGGAGACATGCTGAGAAGGTAATTTAACCATTTAAATCAGCAGTGTTGCATCAAGGATGTATCTAAAACCTGCAGAACACTGGCCATTGAGGCCTGGAGTTTCCCAACCCCTGGTAGGACCTTCTCTGCAACCAATTTCACTTAGCCAGAGTGGGACAACTTCACCTACTTCCAAGGCGCATGGAAAAGATGACATGAAGACTTCAGCGACACTTAATGTATTTGCGAACAACTTTTTTGGGTGACCAATGCGTTTCGGCTTGTGGCCTGCATCAGGGTCTGGACTTAGCCAGGGCCACCAACTTCCAGGAACCTATACTTGTCAGTCCGGGGGATACATGTTTCCTTAGCAACCAATGATTGTATCACGTCCAATATGGCAGACAACTCTTGAGGAATGTGTGCATGATCTTGTGTGGGAAACCTAAATAGCAGCGTTTTATTTGCTCCAAAATGTCAGCGTCTTTACACACTTTCTTCATCGCTCCAGCTTAAACTAACACGCGAGTCTTTGTGATGATAATTGGAAACGGAAAGTACAGTAAAAGCCTTCTGTTTTCTTTTAGAACAAAAACCCTCACGCTGTTAAATTATTCCCTCAAATATAAATGAAGCATTTCAGTTCCACTGATCTCATCGTGCATTAGACAGCAATGCTTCACCACATAATTACAACATCCTTCCTCATCATTAGGGAACCAGACAAAAAAGTCTATCTATTTTTTAATTTCAACTTGCAAAATGCACCTTTTTTTCCCCTGCAGGAATTACTCTTTCATTATATATCATACTTCTCTAATCGCTCTGTCATAGATGTTAATCAACAGCTCCAAACATGCTCATAGATAACCCCACGAGCAATACCCGACAATGTGTCACGTGTAAATGTGCAGACACGCCGGTTTAACAGCAAACAAGTTTTAATGTAAGCATACATGGCTTGAAGGAAACAGCATCTTTTTGAGAGAATCAAGAGAGAGCTTCAAGGGTTGTGTGAAAAACAGGTCGTCCCTAATCAGCTCCCGCATCTGTTCTTTTTATATGTTTTAGCCAGAGTTGTTTTAACCCATAATAACTGACAGAACTGATTTATTAGCATGTAAACTACATTAACTACATTTTAAAATCAACACCCCAGCAGGTTTTCTCTGACCAGGCAATGTCCTCACCTTTTGTACGGAGTCCATGTTTGCATCCCTGATAATAAGTATATTTGTGCAGCTTACGTGGTTTTTATTTTGCTTTTCGATATCTTACTTTATTCCGTCCTCACGATCAAATTTATCAGTGCATCACTGGAGCTGCACTACATTTACGACTCCGATGCTGATTCAAATCGGCAGCTCCGAGTGCGCTCACAGCTGGAGTTAAAAAGCGCCTTTAAGACTTTAAACCAGCTTCATAGTAGCCTTAATAACAGTAAAATGTTGGTTTCAGTAAAGCCGGCTAACCCAGAGTTCGATTTGCATCATGATGCCAGCCCCAGGTCTCTTGTAGCTGATGCTCTGCCAGCACCAGAAAAATGAAAAAGACTGCTGTCCTTTACGAAACATGAAATTGTTTTTCCTTAATGTTAGCTTTCAGGCAAACTTCACTAAAACGGTTTTAAATGCAGCAGCTTTCTTTACTGGTCATCACAACAGAATTGGGGACAAACAGCTGAGGCCTCACTGGTAACCTTAAGTTCATTTTTGAGTCACGGTTATGTGATGTCTTTCAACACCTCAGCACTACAGAACGATGATATGTATATTCCAAACTATGTATGCTTAAGGTGACAATTGTTTGCTTTTAAACTGATGTCTTGCTATACTCGCATGCGATAACATTGCTGGTTTTACAACTGTTGCCTGTGGTGAGGCCTGAGGTGCATTATCAGAGGGTAACCATAACTATAACATCTGACTGGAGTCAGACACTGTAACCGTTTTGTTTCTTGTAGTTTTATGTGCTCTGGTCTGATCTCATCTGTGTCTAAATTTTACATGACAGATTCAATAAACTCGAGTAATGTACTTAAACCTAGAAATTTGTGTCTATTGTCTTGTTGTGCTACATTTCATCAGACACCAACACAGCTGCTTCTGACATATTAGAACACACCTTCATCCTTGCACCCACCTATCTACTCCTATTAGCCGGTGAGGTTGCTTATTACTGACACGTTCGCCTCTTCTCAGTGCATAAAAAATGTGTTTGCTTTCAGATAATATGTAAAAATAAAACAGTCAGCTTTTGCATTTCTTATCACAATTATAACTGTTTTTTGTTACAGCACACAGATTTTTCTTATCAGTGCATGCAGTGTAATATTTACAGACACCATTGTAAACTATTGAGTGTTTACAATATTCCAATTCATATCAAGCCTCTTTCTTTTACTCAGACTACTAATTACATGGAGAAAAGGATATTGTTTGCTAACGTTAGCAGCTAACGCTCCACCTTTTTTTTGATTCCTGAGTTCACTTGCTAGACGTAACTGCATGCTGTTACTTCAAGCTAGTTTTCCTGGCTGCCTATTGTTCTTAGCAATAACGAGTTCTCTTTCAAAGCTGTTTTTACCAGTAACATATAAGGCACACGCAGACATACCCAAAAACAGTATAAAACACGGTTCTAGCTTCCGGTTGGAAAAGTGAGCGCCTTCAACCTGCACTTTACCCGAAGCCCACCACATGGCGATAGTTGTGATTTCAAAGAGCCTTCCCGTACTATAGTTCACTGTAAGAAAATAGCTTTCTGACTTGACCTCTGTAAACATTTTTCTGCTCATTCTGGGTTCATGCTGAATGAAATATTACATCTATTTTGTAAATCCAGGTCATACTATGTTTCAAAAAGAGGATTTGCCACAATAAGCTCATTTGCTTGTGATTAACAAGCCATTAGCCAATTAACAACTGGTTTTACAGAAAGACCCGCCTCTCCTCACCACTGTCTGTTTTTTTCTTCTTTTTATTCCAAACCAAGACGAGGACGGTGAAATTGCTAATCTCGGGGCATCAATCGAGACTATAAAAATCAATGCTGTCTACAACGACACCTCACAAAACTGTTGGGGTTACCACAGCAGGTAGTTCCCCTATGTTTCATTTGACAGATTTTTTTCCCTCTTCCTGACTCCTTCCTGATTTCTGTCTCATCCTGGGATCAAACCAGAGCTTCACTTGTTGCCAAATGTATAAACCACTGTTGAGCTACATAAAGCTGTTGCTACTCTTTAGCTAATAAATAAATGTCTATAAGCTAAATTTTCAGTGGTATTACAGGTTTGTTTTAACGATAATAAATATTACATATTTGATACAGTTACCAAATTTGCTACTTCTTTGTGCTCTCCACTCTCACTAGGTTGGTGTAATTTGCATGAGCTGCTTTAAATTCATGTAGCTAGTCCATTACTTTTTTCTTAAAGTTCTTTAAAATGATGCTAATTTGTTGTTTTTTATAGTTGCTTTCTACATATTTGCACTTACTGTAGCTGTGGGCTGAACTGACTAACTCGGTGGTGCCTGTACGATAGAGCATGATTAAGGGGTTATCCATCTGTGGTCTGATTTATCTGCTCGAATCACTGCAACTCATCCTTCACTCATGATTCTGATAATGTTGCTTCTGGTCAACTCTGCCTCTTTCACACGGAGATGCTCCAAGTTAAAAGAATCAGCCGATAACTAGCTTAATGTTGCCAGGACAACCAGTGGTAGCCAAAGTGAAGGCAGATGACTTCCAGATCGAACATGCGTCATGGTACAGATCCCATGTCTCTTGTAAATGATGCTATAGCGGCAGTAGGAAAAAATATTCATAAAAGGGAATACTTACACTTTACACAGCATGAAATAATATTATCATATTTGTTGGCTGGAAGGCAAACTTCACAAAACAAATAAACAAAAATAAAATTCTGATATTGAAAGAGCATTACAAAAATATGTCTATTATTAAGTTTTGGGAACATGTCAGCTTTCTTTACTGGTCTTCACAGCATACAGTAATTAGGTATAAACAGCTGAAGTCTCTTTCAATGGATTACGCTGCTGCTACTCAGAAATACACTTGCTGGCAACCTTAAGTTTTATTTATTTGTGACTCATGGTCATACGATGCTTTTCAACACCTCGTAGAAATACTGAAAGAAGAGAGCGAAGAGAGTGTTCAAGCTGTTCAAACTACTTCAAGCTATGAGTGCTGATACATGTGGCTAATTACTGGAGGGTATCTGTAATCAGACTACTTTTTTGGTGCCATTTTCCAGTCCCATGTGTGCTGAACTCGCTGTGCTGAAGGGCAGTGTTTAATGTGACTAACACTTTATAATACTGTGGCTTCTATCTCACTCTGGTATTCTGCTTTAAAATCCAGCTTCACCCCTGCATCCACCTATAGACTTATTATCCTCGTATACCCGGTTCTTCACAGACAGTGAACATTGTGTCTGCTCTCAGACCGTTATAATACACACCAAAACAAAGTGGGCTCTGTTCCTATAATACACTAGCAACTCACTATTACATCCATTTCATATTGTTTTGTTGCCTGAAATATATAGAGGCAAATTAAATTGTCTGTGGAAAAGTAAGCTTCCAGAAGTTTATAGGACAGAAAATGGATCTTAAAATCCTTTTCCGAAATTGATTTTTCTAATCAGCGTCTGTTTATGTGAGTTTTGTTATACTGTGAGTTGGTTGGCCGGCTTGCTGGATAAACTTTGTCCCAAATATTGGATGTACCTCTTCAAATCATAGGCCTTATAACAAAATAGGTCTCACTCTCATTTAAAACGTTTGGCATTTCACTCTTATTCTGAGGAGTTCAATTCAAGTGGCCATTCTTATGGTGTAATTCTGAAGGTTAACATTTTTATACCATCAAAAGTTATCGTATTATAAAAATCCCTTTTAAAAAAAAGAGTATAATAAGAGCTAGAATTTCTTTTACATGGCTTCAGTAGTAGTTGGTGAATATTCAATTGTTTAGTAAACCTAAAACTATTTATCCTATTTTTAAGGTGCTTTTTACAATATCCAATATGCCTTTATGCATATATTTCATTGTTTATCTAGTAAATTGCTAAAATCCTAAAATGTGTCTGTACAATTTTAAGCAGAGTATTTTTTTTATGTGTTTACATTTGTGGTGAAATTCACTTCCCTTTGGGAGCGTAGAATTGGAAACCATTTGTAATTTCAATCTCTCTAATGGAGTGAAAATCTATCAAGTGTGCTTTTAGCTTTGCGCGTTCCACTGTGACCCTGAATTGGAATATGCCTGTGGCAAAAAAAATGAATACATTTCACTTAAAAGAATAAATAAATAAATAAAACACAAATTTTCCCCGCTAACATACAGTGTCATACTTCCTTATAACACAATGCTGCAACTTGTCTGCAGGCTTCTTTTTTTTTTAGCTTGTACTGTATATAGTATTGTTGAGCTACACCTGCTGTAGATGCATTATGCATATTATATTCAGACACATAATATAAACACAAACATCCTCTGACTCAGCATCCCAGGGCCTCTTGTGACTATATACGGATCTACATTTATAATTTCCATGAAGCAAACAGAGGCTGACTTAAATGCCACATCTGAGACAAGTGACCGGGCAAATGTGTAATGAGGATGTGACTCCTTACCTCCTAGGTTCATCCCAGCCTGGAGACACTTCCGTACACGACACGCTGGACAGTTTTTCCTTCGGATCTTGTCAATGATGCAGTCGTTTCTCCCAGCGCACAGGTAGTTATGCTGACCTACAGGGAGACAAGACCCTGTCAGTTTGATGATGACAATCCTGAAGCTTGACACAGAATAATAGTGATATTTTCAAAGTTTTGGAGAAAACAGGTTTTTTTTGTCTGTTTTTGTTTTTTCTTAGAAGAAAAAAAAAGTGAAGCAGGAGATAGAAGCCGCTTACTTATAGAGGTAGGATAATAGTTCTGAACATTTTCCAGGAAATATACAACCAATTACATGAATGGCAGGAAATGTTTCATTGTAATGTCAGATCTCTGTGAGCCACTGTAATGTAGGTCATCAAGGTAAGCTGTAAAAAGAATGTGTGGCAATATCGGTTTTCACGACTGTGAAAATGATTAAAATTGTGATTATTCCGCTCTCACCTATGACTAATAGTGCATTAGACAGTAAATAGCATGAGAGTTTTTAGAATTCGCCGGAGCCAGGACTCTGACTGCAGCTAGACTATTCCTGACAGTGATGCTAACATGGCGAGAATCCCTCCTGCCTCCTGCCTAGCCCTGAGCTAAACCCAATGATCTCCCATTTCAGAGAGCTTCCTTCCGCTCCACTAGCTCTTCACTGTACAGCTCCGCTCTCCTCCTCCACTCTTCTCCTTCGCTACGCCTGCGTCTCCATCCCTCCTTTTCCACACGTCCGCCAGCCTCAGAGCGCCATACGCCCACACACAGACAGGCTCATGCACATGCACACATACAGTCATTCACTCTCACTATCTCACATGCGCACACATGCACATACAGCCAAAGCTGCTCCACTTGGCAATTTCAAAAAATAAAATAAATAAATAATGCAAATCTTGTATCTGATTCCACAAAGAAATAAACACACACACACACATACACAGGGACTGAAATCACAACCCAACCCGGGTGGAGTGGTACAGTGTGCCATTGTGACCCTAATGACCTAAGTATAAGGCTTAGCTCCCTCAGGGCTTATGTTAAAACTGTGTGTCCCTCCCACAAACACATACATGGTTGCGCGCATGCAAATGCTTGCATGTCTGTGCATATTGCTCCGTATTTTCCCTTGCACGTTTGTTGTCAGTTGTTTGTTTCTCTCAAAGTACGCAAAATTTCTGTCGTGGATTGCAATGCTTTTAGTACGGGAGCTCGCCGTGTGGTGTTCACATGCAGTTTATCTCCAGCGACAATGCTACTGTGCATTGCATTTTGTTGCACCTACAGTACAGTATCTGTATTTGTGTGTAGGACTGAGTAGAAGTTGTTTTCTGAGCTAGCGGGAGTAGTGCGCAGTGTGTCTGTCTGGCTGCTGCCAAAAGCCAAGGAACCGAGCTGCAGGAGGAGAGGCAGCAGCTGTAGCCCCACCACTATTTCTGGCTAAATCACATGACCGTTACATAAGCCCATTTTTCTTGCTCTAAAAAACAGTAAACTGCGACACAGGATACACAACGCAGCCATCCCATTCCCTGCACCCCCCCCCCTCCTCATCCACACACACACACACACACACACACACACACGTTTACAGTATACACAATCACACATTTGCGCCTCTTTAGGCCAGACCGAAAGGCAGTTCCGAAACTCTGGAGTCCTCGTGTCAACTGTTTGGCTCATTCCTGTGAATCTTGTTAATAATTGTTAGAGTGAAACACACTTTAAGAGCCAGCCAAAGTCGCAGTCCGATGGTGGATACGTGTGCAACTTTGTGTGTGAGTTTGTGTGTAGGTGTGTGTGTGTCAAGCATGAGAATTTATTTATGCACACTGTGCATGCGCTCACATATACTCGCGCAACATGTTTATCTTTTAAATTACCTCTTGATTCGTGCAGAATGAAGAGGAAACTCCCATAATAAAAACTGAGAAATATTAAATATTTAGAAAATACGAATGTAAGGACCAATGCATTACTAGGAAATTCTTCTAAGAAGGAAATTTTCTTTCCAATTGACCTACAGCACTCTGGCCACTCAGGAAGCTACAGTTCGGCTGCTCTCGAAAGCGAAAATCAGCTTCAGGCCTTTGCTAAAATACAACCTTTAACCTGACATATTTAAATAGCCAATAAACACAAGTGGTCAGACCCCTGTTTGTGACAATAACCTCACAAATACAGATGCAGACGCACATGGATAACGGCACCGAAGAACACTTGCCAGTGGACGCACACTTCTTCACTGGGTACCGTTGCTGTGGACTTAACTAAAGAACGCAATCGTGGACGACAGTAATTTAATTATTGACCAGCAAAGCATTTGGCCAATTCTGTGATCACGGTTCATTGGTGTTTATGCAACCTATCATTACACAGATACCAAAATAGCAAACACAAAAAAAAAACGAACAAAAAAAACAGAGATGTAATTGTTGTCACCAGTGAGCCAGCAGTATGCAAATCACTGCCTTGCAATGGCATCGCTACTCCGCTTCTTTGGACAGCACACAAACAGCTGTGTTGGATGAGGCTTTACACAATTAGGTTTGTGCTCTTATTTAAAACTACTAAATCTATGATGCCAAGTGGTCCCAGCTTTTAGGCATTTTTTTCTTGCAATATAACTATGTGAAAACTTTCTGTCATCTAAAGCATGTTTTGAAAATAATTCTCTGCAAATTGATAAGTATCCTGATCGCCTCTGCAAAGGATGAAGACATTTTTGCATAATTGTGGTGGTATACCTATTTTTAATGAAGAGAGCGGCATATCTGCAGCAGCACTTTCTAACGTAACGCCACTCCCTTAGTGCTGTATCTTTAAAAAGAAAAAAAGAAAAAACAATTACCAGTGAAGACAGTGATAAAGCCCATCAGATTGGCGGCCCTTATTTGGTTGAGCACAAAAGGTGTAACCAACATTGAAGTCACAGAACAAAGGTATCACCAGGGAGTAGGAAGAGATGGAGGTCAGATTATATCCGCTGGGGAGACATGCAGGTCAGCCTAGGCCAGAGGAACTGATGGCATGGAGGAAGTAGTGCGAGTTATATCATCACACAAGCACCAAAACATATGGTGTAGTTGTTAGTGCCACAACAGGCTTTATAGGACAGTAGACAGTGTTATGTATGTTGTTTTTATTGCTAAAATGAGGCATTAAATAGAACATAGTGAACAACCACTTAAACAAGAATATAATATGTCTGCAGTGCAAGATGTTGTTCAAGTGCACAATTTTAATATAAAAAATAATTTGTAGCCCTCATGTATTGTTTATGTATATGAATATTCCTAAAAGAATGCATAATTTAACAGTATTTAATAGTGTAATAAGATATCCCTTCTAATATCATTACAGGTCTATTTGCAATCGGGGCGACACACATGCTTAGAGTAAGTCATTTTTACCCCGAGCCGTACACCTGAATTTCTTTCCTCTTGTGCCTCCGGTTGTGTCTTTGCTATGCAGTTTCTGATTAAAGGATGTGTGATGTGGGGAAGGTGAGATCGGGACAACACTGACTCCAGCCGTCGTTACATGAGCTCCTTCACACACAACCTGAAGCATTCACCGAGGAGGCACTGCAGGGAGGCCTTTCTCCCTCCCCCCCGAGCCTGAGCTGAGCAACGGGATTGGACAGCAGAGCTGTCAATCCAAGCAGAAACCGGGCAAGACGTGTCCTCAGACGACCTCTTCCTCTGAGGAGGCAAGGAAGAATGAGTTTTTCAGATTGACACGAGCGCCACGGAAACCACGGCCCAGTCGGATTTTTAGAGCTGAATGAGGGCGTAACAAGGTTGAGTAATTTCTCGTGTATCACGTAAACCCAAAGTTAAAAAAAGAAAAAGAAAGAGGAACAGTAAGAGCAGCTAGTGAGCTCCAAGCATGACCTGGTATTATTACGAGGAGCAGACATGCCAAGCCACTGATGACATGTGAATAATAAGTTGGCGCTGAACGCTTCAAATGTGCGCCACATGGAGCCGTTTATTGAGTGCAGCTGTCTTGTATCAACAAACTTGTCTTTAGAGGAGTGAAAGCAGGAAAGAAGCACATATGAATGCATTCAGCTATTTCCACATTTCATTAGCAGCGATGGCACATATTTACAAAGCGCTGTTATGTCAGAGGGTTGTTTTCTGCAGCGCAGGACTAATCCATAACCTGAAGAGTTAACTGCAAGACATTTACTGCAGGTTTGCATGACAGTTTAGTCAATAACATAAGTACAGCTGCCTTGTGAGCTTCATAAGTCATTCTATATTTATTTATCGGACAATTAACATGCCAGATGTAACGGTAAACACAGTAAATGTCTAACAATAGCTGCCATTCTCTAAAAGATAAACTGGATTATTTGTAGTAATTGCTTATCTATGTACTGATAATATTGGTGTCACAGCACTGTGTGAGAACGTAGTTACTAAATACTACTGAGATGGGGTTTTTTTATTTTTTTTTTTTATGTGTTGCACTTTGTAGACAGTTTCTACAGGCTAAATGCCAACATTATTTCAGCCTTTTAGCCAGAATAATCCAGAGTACAGTAGTTTTAATAATGCAGTTTTCCCACAGACTGAGATACTTTTTGTGTATTATTAAAAATTAAGATCCCGTGGACAGACTCCAACCTTATTGGCTTTGACTGCAGCAACCAACCATATAGTCTCTGTTCTGCTCTGCAGTGCTGACACATGAACTATCTTTCCACCTTTGTCAGGTTCAAGTTAAACTGGCCCGAGGCTCACAATGAATCTCTGCAGCACATCTTATTTGTAGAAGAAGGGCTGTCATTGCCAACTGCAGTCCAAGACAGCAGGACAAGAAACAGCCAAATGATAGAAACAGCTAAATGAAATCGAGGTTTCTCACAAGGCGTCATACGCACATTGCTCTAGAGTTGTCTGCCATATTGGAAGTGATACAACCACTGGTTGCTAGGGAAAGATGTTTTCCCCGACTGGTTAGTCAGAAATTGCTGTTTCTTGCTTCGTGAAATCAGATGCAAAGAAGTTACTGCACCAAAAAAACAAAACAAAAAAAACCCCCCTAACTAAAACAAACTTTTAGCAGTTGATTTGGTT